TGACACATGTCATCTTGTCCCAATAGATACTCATACTGTTATTCACTGGATTGTCTGGTCCAGGCACGATTATTTACAGTTAGCCGCCATATAGCTGGACTGTTGCTGAGTGCGGTGTTAAACAACAACCTAACCTAACCTAACCAAGTCACACAACACGTTTGTTGTTCGTATTATCCCGTTACCTGACATGCACGCTCAAATAGTGGAGGGGAGCACCTATATATATGTAACACTTGCAAAACAAGTTTTGTCAAATGTGTATGCAACATACTCGTCTCAGTACATTCAAATATACGATACCTTATTTGTAGTTATGTGCACATACTCGAGGAAGGTACGAATACTTCGACGTAAATCAATCAGCTGATGTACTCACCCGATGTCAGCTGTATCCATCGAACTAACACCCGCCATGTTGAGCAACCAGGAAGTGAAATACCCAGAGATATAGTGAGACGCAGGGCTTTGATCAATGTTGAGGTCACACTCACTATTTTCCTCCTACACATGCACGTGACTCACGGACCCGTTGTAAGGCTGACATCCCAACACTGTTTACAGGGTAGCTTCCATCTAGATCAAGAGCGGCCAACCCTGACAACGAATCAATGAGGCCTTAGAAATAGTATTTACACAAGCTCGTAACACAATACTGTATATCTATTTTGATGTTATGTATGTCGTGGCGAACTTAAACTGTATGTATTGTATTGCTTGTTACTTTCGTCAAAAACAACCAATTGTTTTTTTGTGGAGATTGCTGTGACTGAATGAGTTAGACTGCATTACTGGGGGAATGTGGGTTCGAATCCCTGCGGATTCACCGTTACAAAAACACAAGAACCTGTACTTGCCTGAGAAAGTGTAACCCCCCAATGGTTCATTTAACCACCGTATTGAATGGCACTGTTCACTTCATGCGGTTCATTAGTTCTCCTCTGTGTGTTGATATTGTTTGCAGTGTGGGACACTCCGTCAGTCCACACGCATAGTCTACCTATGGCATTTTCGATAGTGAATAGGCCTTGTACTCCTACAAGTACTTTTCATACAACAGTGAGCGCCGCTCAGATTGCAGTTACCTTGATATTACACAGAAACCTGGGCAATTTGCACACAGGCCTTGAATAGAACGTGACAATATTACTGAAATGACAAGCCTTACAGTGACATGAAACCTGTTGGACAGGGAAACCTATGACAGGACATGTTCACCTTTTGCTAACACCTTGTGTCATCACCTGGTGGTCCGTTCTTAATTTACCCAGCTCTGTTAGCCTTCACACAATATGGAATCTGTAATAGTCAGTATAGGGTATTCGTTTGCACAGCTGCTGTATATTTACAAGAAGGTTATATCCTTCCGTTTTCCGCTAAACTCACTTTCAGCCAAATCCACTTTAGGGAAGTAACGATACAGATGGATATACTGACTCTGGCAGTTAAATGTTTTGTAACATGTTTCTATTACTTCCAGCTTACTGACATCCGGTTCGAAAAGAACAAAGATGCAAAAGCAGTGTATATTCTACCCGGCAGTGATGGCTCTGTGTATCCATGCAATGAAGACAAAGATTATATAAATATAGAAGTAAGCTACTACAACCTCACGCACACACACGTGCGCGCTCACACACACACACACACACACACGCCTACACTCACTCACTCACTCACTATCGATTACAAGTTCTTAAACATCCAATGGCGACGTTTTTGTATTTATCCTAATACCCTTATAAGGATTGCATACTATTTGCACAAACGTCGTCCGAGGGATATCAAAGAACTTGTCTATGCAATTACTGTTACTATTTTGTCATTACGCAACTTGTAAAGATCTCTATCAAACAATTCACCTCTCACAAACATGTGTTCACATAGAAGTTAGGCCAGTCCAAACCTTACGACATAAGTGTCCCACAATGACTATGATATGAAACAAACTAGTCCAAAGACTCAGATGTACGAAAGGCCATTTTCCTGTCGTTGATAACTAGGATGTATTGCGTCAGGAAACAGTGGATAAATTAAAAATAATTTGTTGGTAAGTTTTATTCTGTTTACATCTTACGGCTGATACAACATGGGCTGTACAAATTAATCACATGCAGATACACTTTTAAAATGCAATAAAACGAAGAAGTGAAATATTACTTACGTGGTGAAATACATGAAAACAAAAACATGAGCAAAGCCGAGTTGATATACCTTGGTTGTTTTGCAGTATTCGGATAGTATCACATTTGCTGAAATCGGTGGTCATGATTTCAGTCATATTACTTAATGACACCAGATATTGTATATGTCATGAACTGAACTGACAGAGATAACATTAACATGGGTTAATTTGTCATGTTAACTTTTGTCTGCAACATCCCATCCTAGGTATTCGTAGCGAAGATTGTCTACCATCCCATTCGTCTTTCGTTCTGCGGTATTTACCATCCTCAGTACAAAACACAGGTGTCAATTATCTGAATTTTAAGTAACATAAATACAGTAAAGCAAATTAGCTTCAGTGCATAAAATATAGAAATTGTAGTGATCATACAATTCATAAATATTCGTATTGTTCAGTAGTGACATAACCTATAAAAATAAGAACAGATATAACAATATAATAATAACAAATCATTAACACGTATCACATGTACACACTAGCAAATACGAACTAAAAAGGTTTTCATACTATATTTCAGGTTGGATATCTTACATTGTATAACCGTCCCTAGTATGTTGATCTACCTTCAGTTGTCGGCGATCTATAGCCTGTTTTTATATTGTATCGTCTTCTATAGTTAAAGTATTTTAGATTTAAGTACTAGTTTTAAATATATATCTATGATAATCTAGTTGTTTTACTGTCCTTCGTTGACAGGGGTTTTAAATTGATTACCTTGTTCTCATCGCTATACAGTTGTAATATTGCCTATGCCATGTAAACGTTTAACCTACTCACTCACTCACTCACTCACATGGTATAACCATATACACTATTCCAGACTTGTCCTCTGAGCAGAACATATTCAGCTTTGTGAACATTAAATGTGGTATGTCATAGCACGTACGAAAAGGATCCACTGCTCTAACTCAGATTTGGTTGTTTTCATACACTTTGTTCTGAATGACATCGTACTGCGACTTCTCCTCTCTCTCCCTGGTGACTTCACTCAGTTCGGTGTAGTCTTGCTCATTCGTTCCAGATGTGTTCGCATGAGCAGGGACCTCTCCAGTGCCACCTGTGTCTGTTTTTCTCACACCTGTGTCAGGTGAGGGTACCCATTTCATTCTGAAACAGTTATGTTTGAAAGATATAGGACAGGTGACAGTTATACAATCTAGAGCCTGACGGCTTGGGTTGTATACTCCACAGGGGGCTGAATGCACATTGATCCAGTGAAAGAAATATTTCCGCTGTACATGTACCTTTCGCAGTTGGTATTTAGAGTTAAGAGCAATATACATGTACACATTATTTTAACACCTGCTTCATACTGTTTTCAACGTCTATTTTAAAACAGGTTTCATTGTTCAAAACGCAAAGGGATTAGGCACAAGTGCACCATTTATGGTCACCTTCTCGAAGTTACCTTCCAGATTTCACCAATCCACCAATCAGCAACAGCATTACAACAAGCACTACTGCTCCTCCAATAACTCCGCTTGTAACAGGAGACACTGAATCTGATACACCTGTAAATTAACATGAGCTAAACATTATTTGTGAATACATGTATGTCCTACTAAAAAACGCCCATGTTTTCAAAGGCTCCATGCATACTAAATATCAATGTTAAAGCTGATCTAAAACAATATTTTTATTAAGACATAAATGAGATTCGAACCCCGAACATCTTCATCACATCGGTCACCAGTGAAGCCGTCCAGACACTCTCCGGGACAGCGTCCATCTCCATCACTGCACGTGACGTCACAGTGTCCACAACCAGTACAATCAGGCCCATAAGTTCCAGGTTTGCATCCTGAAGGTCAGGTATTAAATGATGAAATGATAATATTAAGAAGAAAATTGAAATATGTTTGAATTATGACATGTCTTAACAAAACTTTTGTAGCTCTTCAACTGAATTCGCACTGATACATCATGTGAACCCCTTGTGAAAGATGACACATCAGGAATCAGACAGCGGTGCCAGTGGACATGATTCAATACCGAAAACTACAATGTCCACCATTAGAATGAGTGCTGCCTGCTGCCAATGGCGAAAAGGCCATTGTCACATGATTGAAATGCTAACAAGTTGTTAGTTTTCGATATGTGATCTCACAAGATAATATTTTGCTTCATTGGTTAATAAGTGCCAGCTATGACCGGTATTTCTGATTGAAATATGAAAATATCACACTCTACACAGATATGGCTATATGATGTTCCCTTAAATCCATAAACATTCCAAGGTCCTTTACCGCTCTGGAAAACTCAACAATGGAGCTTTAAGCTAAAACGAATGGTGCTTGTACATATTTCCTTATTTTCCTACACCAGTGCCAGTAGGCAGAGATTCCATATGGTTGACATTGAGCTGGAGTTTATTTAGGTATCAAAACACTTTAAGTAATAAGTATTGCAGTAGTGTAGTCTTCTAAGAATCGTGTTTGTTTGCATGTATTCGAGGCAATAAAATGCTTTAGCCGCTGAGTGTCATGAGCAAAGCTCAACCTTGAAACCTTCAGGCAATCACGAAGAGAGATCTGACACATACCCTTAGCATATGCGTATCATGAGTAAAGGTCGACCTTGAAACCTTCAATTAAATCACAGAGAGATTGTGTAAAAACGGACCTGACACATATCCTTGTAGCACTCCATACACCACTGCACTCACATCGAACATTGAACCTTCCACTGCAACTGGCTCAAAGGTCAGCTTGAAATATATTTTAAATCATTTGAGAGCTGGGGCTGTGAACATTTCTGTCAATATCACATCACCAGCCATATTATTTTAAATAAGAGTTTCAGGAAACCTTACTCCGAGTACAGTCTTCTCTAATCCATCCTTCCTGACAACCGGCAGCGCAGGCTCCAGTCACGTGGTCGCAGGAGACTGGTGCAGTTTCACAATGACGTGAATCACAAGACTTGCTGCAGTAAGAACCGTATTTTCCGCTCTGGCATGCTTCACGCAAAGGAAGGGAGAAATGTTATACCCCAAGATAATTCATAGATGGACAATAACAATGTAACTGAACTATTATATCAATGTGAATTCATTCAGCATATAACATTCAACTGACATTTGGCATCAAATGTCTTATACCTTAGCACATAACAACATAACAACATGTGAAATATTGAACTCAGTACATCTTTACCTTGTACTCTTTAGTCCACTGGATTCTATTCTATTCAACTCGATTTATTAAATGCCACAGTTCAGTTAGTAAACAGTTTTACATGGGTTATGCCACTCAGATATATATCTTACATAACAGTAGCAATACTATAAAAACAATTGTTAAAACAAAGACTCATTTATCCTGCAGTCATCATTCTGCCAGCCTTCCCGGCATCCATCTGGGCATGATCCAGTGACGTCACACACAGAAGATGGTGTCTTACAGTTGCGGGAAATGCAGAACTCCGTACATCCTTGTCCATACCTTCCAGGCGGACAGCTGACAGGCACTGTGACACATTTCATGTTTCTCGTAAATCCCGTTTCACCAACAATTAATGTAGCTATGTAATGGCTATAGGATGTTTTCAGAAGTTTCGTAGTTTGTAAAAACTCTAAACATTTCATGTAGGGTAGCCATACTTTTGGATGACAAAAGGACATTACCTGTACAGTCACCCTGTGTCCACCCCGTCTCACATCCACTGTCACCTGTTCCTGCTCGGGTACATGAAGAGTTCCCTACACAGTGTCTGAAGGAGCATACGCCACGACAGTCTGGTCCATAATGATTGGCATCACATTCTGGAAAAGATGGCAAGGGTTTTCATATGGTATATATGAATATTTCCCAGAAGGTGCACAGGACATATTCTCAAAAATCGGAACGAGTCTTTGGTCCAGTACAGGTTCATTTCATATTCACTTTGTAGACATCCATTTAAACGACTCACCTTCTTTACAATCAGCACCCATCCATCCAGCTTTACATCCAGAATCACATGACCCAGTCACATGATCACATGATGAATTTCCCGCACAGTTTCTCTCAGAGCAAATACTAATGCAGTTTACGCCGTACTTTCCACTGGAACATTCTGAAACAATGAACTGGAGAGTTTATATGGCGTTTCAAAGATATATATATATATATATATATATATATATACATGGGCTTTTGGATGACGTTGTGTGACAATTGTCCTTTCTGAATAACTGATGCATTTGGTTCCTTCCATGATCAATTTGATCTGTCTCCTTTCCCTGCATCCGCAACAATACCAAAAAACTGGAGAGTTTATAGGGCGTTCCAAAGATACCAAGACGAGGATATTTTTATATACCCGTCTTGAATAATGTTGTGTGACAACCTTTCTCTCCAAATAACTCTAGTATTTGGTTCCTTCCATTTTTGATATGATCTGTCTCCTTTCTCTGCCTCCCAAGTGAGTGAGTAAATATGGTTTTACGACACTTCTAGTAGTATTCTAGTCAAATCATTGTGGGGGGACACCAGAAATGGGCTTCACACATTGTGCCCATGTGGGGATTCGAACCCGGGTCTTTAGCGTGACGAGGGGACGTTTTAATCACCAGGCTACCCCACTGACCTGCCTCCCAAGTGATTAATGTGCCTAATAATACCAATAAACTTTCATCATTCTATACCTTGTGTGCAATCAACCCCTATCCAACCAGGAAGACATCCTGTGTCACATGCTCCAGTGTGACGGTCACATGACAACTAACGCACAGTAAGACCTCCACAACGCCTGCCTCTTGGTAATCATTCCTATTTATCGTGAATATCCTGACGTCAGAATCTACAATGAGGCGCGTATACGTATCTAAATTCTACAGTATCACTTACCTGTATCACATCTCTGCCCCTGCCATCCTGGCCTACAGTCTCCAGTACTACTGACTGGTGCCTATCAATCCTGAGAGTAGAAATGTCTCAACTGTATCACATCTCGCCCCCTGCCATCCTGGTCTACAGTCTCCAGGACACACTCCAGTCCACCGATCACAGGTTGAATCCAGGCAGTGACAGAAGGTATTACAGTTCACACCGTAGACACCTGGGCTGCAGACTGGTGCATTGGCATTAGGAAGTAGGTACAGTTGCCGTCATTGAGAGAGGGAGGGAAAGGCGATATGTGGTAAAATTGGGTTTAAGGTTCCGTTTTAAAAAGTGTGTGCTTGTTTGTTCCGAGTAACAATATATTACGATCTTTAAGCGTGTTTTAATGTGACGCTCCTAAGGGATCGAACCGCCGAAATTCCCTTCTCCGACTGTTAACCCAATATACCACAGAGATGGTTTGGAGGGGAAGGGACACATATTGAAGAATGGATTGTGGAATTTAGATATATAACGTAGGTGATTATGCATAATGGGGTAGTGAGTGCAATCGTTAACAAATGATTTTTATCATCACAGGCAAGTTAGAATGGCGTCGTGTATATCACAGCCTGTCTTTTACTAGAATGCGTTTTTAAAAGATCTCAATCCAGAATCCTAAATGACTTTTCTGAAATCGGTACAAGAAGCATTTACTCGCTTCATAAAATTGGTATTACTGGGATCTCATTTAGTTACTTATTGTAGTGCATAGCTGTTTCAAACCTCGTTTACTCAAACTATTGAATTTCTGATCATAAACTTTCACATCCGTGTTAATTCAATATTTCACTGTCCTGTGAAAATAGGCAAAGGCGAGTTGCGCGACCAACAACAGTTAAGTTTAACAAAATAATACAGCTTCAGTTTACACGTTGACACATATCAGTTTGAAACCATACAAAAGACAGCATTAGGATTCAGCAGCACACAAACTGCTGTAATTTGTGATTCCGTTGCAAGATACACCCGCGGGACGTTAGTGTAACCACCTACTTCCAACAATAATAGAATGTGAGTGAGTGAGTTAAAACTTAACGTCACCTCGGCAATATTTCAGCCATTTAGTGACGAGACGTGGTTTGCATATACACAAAAACATAATTTGTTAAATAATTAGTTATCGAAGGACTGTAAAATAACTAGAGTATTACTGATGGTGTCTAAAACTAGCATGTAAAGCCAAAACATGTTTTTTAGGAAGACAATACAATATATAACTAGGCTGTAGGTCGCCAACAACTGAAAGTAGATCACCGTACTAGGGACCAAGAGGACTTACAGTACAATTGCTACCTGCATGGAGGCTAGGTGGATTTACACCATCCCTTCATTCGCTGGCGATTTTACGAAAATTTAGCCGATATTCTTACAATTACAAATATGCTACGTCTAAAAATTCTGGTAGATTTAAATTTTACTTCGAGAGTTTTGTGACTTACATAATAGAATGTGCGTGAGGTCCTCTCGTTCATCTATTATCCCCAAATTAAATGTCACTGATTAAACCCAGAGATGTGGAAAGTTTTCAATATTTGTTTATGAATCCAGTTCAGCCGTTCAAAAGAACGCGTCCAGATGTTAAACACTATGTAATATAAGTTTATTGTTGTCAAAAGAGTGACATATTTAGCGGGAAAGTACTGATAGAAATTATGAAACAATCATACAAGTTGAACGCAACAAAGAGAATTGACCATTTTAAATTATCCAGTTTGATATAAATGAAAACATCCTGTCAACTCACTCCAAGATGTGGTTGATATTTTTTTACAAATGCTCAGAATTTATTCTGTAACGGAACTTACAAACAAGGACTTTGCTGTTGAAGGACAATAAAATACACTTGTATCACCAGGACACGAATAGACAAATTCTTGTAAATACAATGATGATTTACCATAGATTTCCACCTCACAGATGCCCAGTGCACTAGCATAGCCATCGCTTCCTCCTGTCCCCGGGTTCCTGATGGTGACGTATCTGCCGGTAGCGTTACACGTCACGTCAGTTGGGTTGGGAGTATCTGGTGGACTCGGGAGGGTGGAGCAGATGGTGGAAGTGTCGTTGTTTTGGTAGATGTTAGAATTGGCGTTTCTATAGTAGACTTGAAAACAAACATGTTTTATTCTACGTTACATAATAATAATGTGTCAATATAGTTGCTGTTAGCTCATATTTCAGATCACAAAACTATGTTCATGTAATGGAATAATACCGTAATTGAGAGGAGACACGTCCAATTAAAAGTATGGGGATTGGGATGGGGATTAGAATACTCACATCAAAACTCCCGATCGTTTGCAAAATATAACAGCACACTGAAGCTCAAGATTCTTCTGGCATATGTTTTGCACAAAATCACTTGTAAAATTTGTGATTCCTTCACTGAACCAGATATGTTCACAGTACCCAGCAGTAAACGGCCTGATTCTCAAAGATATTAATACGTTATATTTAATCACTAAACCCTCCGTATATAAACAGTAACTCATGTATGTACGTTTGTACATGTATCACACACAACCAAGTCACAACATTATGTGAAAGGAAGCAATTCTACTCCTGGAATAAAGTAACTGCGGATCACCTGATGTTCTGCTATTTTTAATGCAAAAAGATAATAACATGATATGTGATGTTGTCCTTAATAACTAGTTAACTGTTGACAGGAGAATATCTGCTAGTTAACTGTTGACAGGTGACGTATATGCCGGTGACGTTACAGCTGGGTTGGGAGTACCTGATGGATTCGGGAGGGTGGAGCATATGCTGGAGGTGTCGTTGTTCAGATAGATGTTGGAGTTTGCATTTCTCCAGTAGACTTTAGTAAAACAAATACTGTTTCAGACTACGATGCACTATGATACTGTGTCAATATAGTTGCTGTCATCGTATATATCTGATCATAAAACTATGTTCATGCAATGGACTAATGACGTAATTGAGAGGTGACACTTCCAATCCAACAGTATAACCATTAGAGAAGAATATGTTTGGAGTGAGTGAGTGAGTTTAGGTTCACGCCGCACTCAGCAATATCCCAGCTATATGGCGGCGGTCTGTAAATAATCGAGTCTGGACCAAACAATCCAGTGATCAACTGCAAGAGCATCGATCTGCGCAGTTGGGAACCGATGGCATATGTCAACCAAGTCAGCGAGCCTGACCACCCAATACCGTTAGTCGCCTCTTACGACAAGCATAGGCTGGTGAAGATCAATTCTAACCCGGACCTTCACAGGTTGAATATGTTTAGAATTATTACATCAAAACTTATTCGTTTGCAAACGGTAACAGCACACCGAGGCTCAAGAATCATCTGGATGCACATGCTATGCACTAGATCCCCTCTCAATACGTGGTTCCCTCACTGAACCAGATTATGCAGTCAACAGTAAAAATCCTTAGCCTCACTTCCATTACATCAGCGGAATGGTCATGTTTACTTTCAATATGTAAACCAATTACAAAACAGAATAGCAATAATTGAATTGATATAAATACGTCTAGGTATCACTCGTTGAGGTATGATGGGGTAGCACTGTTATTGATATAAATACGTCTAGGTATCACTCGTTGAGGTATGATGGGGTAGCACTGGTATTGATATAGAATGATCACCAGCATAAAATGATTATATGCCTCATCAAATAAAGCAACACCAGCCTATAGCACGTTTCGAGGTGTCCGCCTCTCTATTGTCAAACACATATTTCTTGTATAGAACATTGTGGCGGAGTGTTTAAATAGGTTGATAAATATGTTGCCAGCAGAACACTTGTTGAAGAATTACGTAATTGCAAAATTGTTACTTTTTCATGTGTTTGATGTACTATGATGAAAAACTAGACTTCAGTAATGTGTCTAAGGTGAGTCTAAGGTGATATATAACAATCTAAATAGCATCGTTCTCTCTTAGATCACGATGTCTGGATACCTACATCCATTTCTACTGTAGATCCTGATGTCATACAGCTGGAAGTCCCGGCCCAGATCCACTGTCCAGTCTGACGGAGATGTAGCAGCGTGGAAACAGGTTCGACCCAAACCATTTTTGTCACTTTCCCCATCCACAGCATTTGATGCGGGCCAGCCTCCAAACACTGATGTTGTTGATGCTGTCTTTTGAAGTTCAATGTTTCCTATGTAGTACAAAATTAATGTCACACACGGAGTTCCACACACATTCCAGGATATGCTTATACTGGAAATGACCCTGTATTTGTCGGGTGATATCGCTATGTGAAAACATATCTAGTTATGTCCTATCTATATAAAGTTATGATGGGTTTACATGCGTGGTGACAATCAGATTCTAGTTCAAAGTATAATGATTCTAGTTCATAGTATAATGGTTCTAGTTCATAGTATAATGATAACCACAACCCTACTACCTATCTGTTTTGTTACGAATATTTTATTCGGCGTAGGTAATGGGATTATAAGGCATTTTTTAATAATTTGTACGAAAAGCAGTTTTCACACCCACCAAAACAGAAAAGTAAACGCATCCATATAAATCCTTTTGCATGTGGCACTCACGTCTCTGTCAAAGACACCCATCCTTTGTCCAACCCCTATCACAAGAACCAGAACAGATAGAACAGAGAATGCAAGATATTGCAAAAAAATGAAGTGATAATATGGATGTGATACTGAGTGAGTGAGTGAATTTAGGTGTATGCCACACTCAGCAATAATCCAGCTATATGGCAGCGATTTGTAAGTTATCAAGTCTGGACAAGACAATCCTGTGATCAACGTCATGAGCATCGATCCACGCAATTGAGATACGACAACATGTGTCAACCAAGTCAGCTAGTCTGACCACCCGATCCCTTTCGTCGCCTCTTACGACAAGCATGGGTTTCGTGAAGACTAATTCTAACCCGTATCCTCACGGATTTATATGTTTGTATGTGATACTGACGCTTCTGGCACATGCTTCCTCCCGTAATCCATCCAGAGTCGCAGGAACCTGAACAGGCACCTGTAGTCTCGTCACATGATGTCCCGCAGTGACAGGAGTAGCTACAGGAGTCTCCAAACCTTCCTGATTGACAGGTACCTGTGGGGAGACACAGAGAAGTAAGATTCAACACTGAATGGAGAAGTTAAAATTTCCCAGTAGGCTATGTGGTATGTACGCGTTTACTGACGACCGGACAACAGGTATTGGATAACGTTACACTGGATAGTGGATGAAATCATGCTGTATGGATGACAGGACAATGTTTAGATGCATAGATCATTGGACACTGTGCTGTAGATGGCAAGGCCTCAATAGGGATGACTTCATCTCTGGGCTTGGATGGTGATCTACCTTCTGTTGTTGGCTATCTATAGCCTGTTTTTATATTGTATTGTCCAAATAGTGCTCTTAGTTTTAACTTTCCACGCTAGTTTTAATTCTAATTGTGATATTCTAGTTGTTTTACTGTCCTTTATCGACAGGTTTGTATAATATACATATGTTCCATTTCAATGTCAAATATGTTCTCATCACGATATGGCTGAAATATTGCCGATGTGACGTTAAATATTAACTCACTCACTCACTCACTCACTCACTGGGCTTGGATGACAAAGTCGTGTATTCGGATGACTAGAAAGTCGAGTTATGTATGACAGGACCCAGATTGTAGGCGAAGGTCATGTGTGACGACAACTGAAATGAGGATTTATTTTTGACATCATGTGCAAACGCACATGTACAACTTGTGACATATTTACATTAATTTGTAGTTCAAGGTACAAATTAGAAATTCACATGAAAACATTGCTCTCGTTTCTGACAGTTGATTATGTATGACAAAGCAGCTTTTTCTTCCTTGTATAATATATAGAGGTTTGTAAGGATGAATCTTTATTGCTGTGAAGTCAATTGTTTGGAAAGGTTAATAGAATACCCCAGTGAAAACGATTCATTAGTCTCATCGTATAATCCATGTACATCTTGCGCTTTCCTCTCGACTACAGTTACATATTTTAAGCTTTGGACGAAGCAAACGCTTCACACAACAGTCAGTTATACTCGAGGTTTATAACACGTTTTTTTACTGGTATTGTCCCGTTAGCTGAGATGCACACGCAAATAGTGGACGGGGTCTCTTATATATAACACTTGCAAAACAAGTTTTGTCAAACGTGTATGCAGCATATTCGTCTAAGTATATTCAAATATACGATGCCTTATTTGTAGTGATGTACACATCCTCAAGGAAGGTACGAATACTTCGACGTAAGTCAATCGGCTGATGTACCCACCCGATGTCAGCTGTATCTACTGAACTAACACCACCACAACAAGTATCCTGACACCCGCCATGTTGAGCAACGAGGAAGTGAAATACTCAGTCAAACTGTGTTAAGGGTCACGCTCACTGCACTTCCAGTGGTTTATGTTTAACTCTATGCGTGTGAGTCATGAGTGGGAATACTACATTCCGAAACAACGCTAGCCTCACACGCCATACTTTCACAAAAGTTAAATAAGATTGATGAACGACACATACTGTGAACAATGTGCATAGCTTTCACATTCCGTATCCCTGTTACATATCCTCAAATACACGTACATTTTCTTCTGAAGACACTTCAGGAGATACAAGTTCTACACATATCTGTGGCCAGACACACAGTTACATTGTTTATCTTCCTGTACGAGTATGTTGAAGAATTGAGTGGAATATCAACTTCTCGCACTCATTACATTATCCTTCAATGCATGTATGTGACTCACTGACCCATTGTAAGGCTGACACCCAACAGAGTTGACATGGTAGCTTCCATCTGGATCACGTGCGGTCAGCCTTGACGGCGTATGAGCGCTCGGAAATATCATTGTTAATATATTATTTACATAAATTCGTAACAGAATACACGTTTTGATTACAAATATCGTATCCATGTCTTCATGAATATATCTCTGCCTCGTTACTAACATGTTGTTTATTCGACCTGTGAGTTTTGATACTGTTTGCATGGCATAAATAAACGACATATATCACTCATATGAACTATGTGTTCAGCTTTCACATGCGTATCCCTGTCACATTTCCTAGAAACCACGGACATCCTTCAAGACTGGACAGGGCAGAGGGACTTCAGGAGAAGTGTTCTATGTAGAGATATAGTGAGACGCAGGGCTTTGATCAATGTTGGCTAAATTATCAACAGGTCACAATCACTACTTTTCCTCCTACACAGGCATGTGACTCACGGTCCCGTTGTAAGGCTGATATCCCAACACTGTTTACAGGGTAGCTACCATCTAGGTCAAGAGCGGCCAACCCTGACGATGTATCAATGAGGGCTTAGAAATAAGATTCACATGAGCTCGTAACAGAATACTCTGATGTTATGTATATCGTGGCGTGTTTAAATTTTGAATGTATTCTTTCCTGCCTCTGACATGTTACTTTCCTGTGGTTCATTAAACATGACATTTTTTGTTTTTTTGTTTTGTTTTGTGTTGTTTTAGATTGATGTGGCTGAATGGGTTACATTGCATTCCACAGGGAGTGTGGGTTCGATTCCCAGATGGATTCACCGTTAAACAAAACTAGAACCAGTTCCTTTCGAAGGAAGAGTAGTCCCCTATGTTTCATTTAACCACCGTATTGAATGACACTGTTCACTTCCTGTTCATTAATGATCCTCAGTGTGTTGATATTGTTTGCAGTTTGGGGCACTGAGTCAGTCTTTACACATGGTCTACTTATGGTATTTTAGATAGTGAATAGACCTGGTACTCCTACACGTACTCTTCACACAACAGTGCCACTCAGACTGCAGTTGCCTTGATATTACACAGAAACCTGGGCTATTTGTATTCAGGTCTTGAATAGAACGTGAAAATGGTATGACTTACAATGAACCTTGTTGGACAGGGACATGCTCACTCACTGTGAATACCTGGTGTCGTCACTTGGTGATCCGTTCTTCATTTACACATCTCTGTTAGAATTTACGAAATATTGATCGTGGTACTGCGTATTATCTGCGCTGCCTGTGTATATTTACAAGAAAGTTGTATAGTTCCGTTTTACTCTTGTAAGATAGCTATACTACTCCCTACCAAATTAAATAATCTCCGCTTCATTAAAGTAACCATACAAATGGACATACCGACTAATTAAATGTATAAACAAAGTTTCCCATTACATCCTATGAAATCAAAGATTATACAATACAAAAGTAAGTAATTACGCACGCACGCACGCACTCAATCACTCCCTCGCGCATTACTTCATCTCTGGTTGAAAAGGTGGTTTATGAGTTCGCCCGTCACAACGAAGGCCCGGGTTCGATTCCACAAATGGGTACAATGTGTGAATCCCCGCCGTCATGTTGCTGGAATACTACTAAAAGTGGCGTAAAACCATGTTCACTCACTCACAAACGTTTCGATTCAGATCCCTTTACCGTTATGAAGATATACTGTTCGCCCAAACGTCGCCCTATGTATATTACAGAATTTGGAGTCAAAGCCATTACTATTTTGTCATAGGGGTATTCCCGTTAATTCGACCTTAGGGTCGAGGGAAAAAGCCTTTGATGTTTGATGTTGTGAAAACGGTGTTATTTTAAGGTATTAAAGACACTGGTTTTCTGCAAAATGTGTCCACGCAGGCAACGAAATATGACATGTATATCAGCGGGTTGATATGTGGACCAGCGGGTTTTGTGAATGAGTTTAGATCACTCAGTTCATTAGTAGTGTGTTATTCAGTTTCGTACATAAACTTGCATGCTATAAGAATATTGGAACTGACAATTTTCATCAATATGTCCACAACCTCACAGCTGCACACGAAGTTTCTTCCTACTTCTCGTGGTGGAAGATACATATGTGTAAATGGTAATACGTTCATTGTGAACAAGAATATTAAAAGGGAGAATGGTTCTCGCGGAGATAATACGTGGAGACCACAACCACGGACCAGTACACAACGAAATCAAGGTGAATCTTTTCGACTATACCAAACGAAACTGACGGTCCTCGCACAGACAAAAACCTGGAGGGTTGACATGGCCGTTGTGAAGAAGGTTGTGGGAAAACAAGGACAGAACGAGGCACAGATGCTTTGGAGAGACGAGTAGACGCCTTGGAGTTCAGACTTGCAAATAACGATCTGACATTGATGGAGTACCTGGTCAAAGCCTCCTATTCTGTGAAGTTGTTGAGCTCCTGATTCTTGGTTCTGGTATATCTGTCTTGCCTGTATATTGTACTTTCAGTATATAAGTTGTATTATTTAACTTAATTCATAAGGAAATGGTCGTTTGTAGTGATATAACTTTTATTTTTATAAATAATGTTAGATTACGTATTATTTAAAGTTGCTTATTTTAGCACTATAAACGTTTTATGTAAATATTATGTTTTATGAATATGTATTATTTATTATGTACACAATAGAAATTACCGTCCCTATGAATGCTTTAATAAAAATGACATGATGACATTTTACAGCGTAATTCTTGTTCAGTTATTTTCCTGTGAACATTTTAGCATTAACCGTGCCGGTGTACAACAATTGAATAAATTAAGAATGCTTTGATGGTAAATTTTATTCTGTTACCATTTACGTCTGACACCACATGGGTTATACAAATTAATCACATACAGATAAATTTTTAAAATGCAATAACACGAAGAGGTGAAATATTACTTAGGTGGTGAAATACATGAAAATAAAAACATGGGCAAAGTCGATTTGTTTTTTTTGTATTTTACCCTGCTAACACAAGTTATTCCTTGGGACGATTTCGTCCGCAGCATTTCACGCTAATCTTCAGAGGTAACAAACGGGATCGAATTGTATCACATTTGCTGAGATCGGTGGTCAAGATTTCAGTCACCAGCAAGGGTACATGACATGACCTGATCTGAGATAACATAAATGTACAACGGGTAACATCCCATCCAAAGTATTCGTAGCCAATATTGTCTACTATACCATTGCATGTCCTTTTTTCAGCGGTAAAATTTACAATACTAACACCACAAAACAAAATTGTACATTATCTGAATTTTCAGTAACATAAATACAGTAAAGCTAATCAGCTTCAGTGCATAAAATATGAAAGTGTAATGAGTAATGAGTAATTCATAAATATTTGTCTTATTCAGTAGTGAAATAAAGCATAAAAATAGCACCAAATATAACAATATGATGTCATGACAACTCATTAACACTTATTATATGTACAAACTACCAAATACGAAAGTGAAAACTAAAAAGCTTTATATATTATACTTCAGGCAGGATCAAAATCTTTCATGATATAAACTTGTATAATATTCTAGAGTTGTACTCTGGACAGAACATATTCAGTTATGTGAACATTAAATGTGGTATGTCATAGCACATACGAAAAGGATCCGCTGCTCTCAACTCAGATTTGGTTGTTTTCATACACTTTGTTCTGAATGACATCATACTGTGACTTCTCCTCTCTCTCCCTGGTGACTTCACTCAGTTCGGTGTAGTCTTGCTCATTTGTTCCAGACGTGTTCGCATGAGCAGGAATCTCTCCATTCCCACCTGTGTCTGTATTTCTGACACCTGTGCTAGGTGAGGATATCCATTGCAGTCTGAAACAGAGATGTTTGATAGAAATAGGACAGGTGACAGTTCTAGAGCCTGAAAATCTATCGTGAACTGTGGTATACTCGTAGAAACTGAAAACTTTCTGTAACGTAACAGCAACAGCAAAATCCGTGCACACATTATTTTAAAACTGTTTTATATAATTGTTACTGCTTCATACAAAACTTTTTCAAAAGTTACCTTCCAGATGTCAGCAGACACATCATCAGCCCACCACTCAGCAACAGCATTATAAGTATTACCGCTCCTCCAATGACGCTGCTTGTAACAGGAGACACTGAACCAGATACACAAAGAAATTAGTTGTGCGTTTGACATTATTTAATATCACTGACTATAATACGCCCATGCATAATGTATATCAACGTTAACGCCGATCTCAAGCAACTTTTTATAAAGACGTAAATGAGATTCGAACCTCTAACATCCTCATCTGATCGGTCAACCGTGAAGCCGTCCAGACATTCTCCGGGGCAGCGTCCTTCTCCAACATTGCACGTGACGTCAAAATATCCACAACGAGTACAATCAGGTCCATAAGTTCCAGGCTTGCATCCTGAAAGTTAACAGTTCCGGTATTAAGTGATGAAGTTATGCTATCAAGAAGTACATTTAAATATGCTTCAGTAATGACATATCTTATCAAATCATTCTGGCTCTTCCACTGAATTCCCACTAATATACAGTAATATACAGCATATGAAACCCTGATGAGAGAGAACACATTTGAAAATACGGTAAAAATACAATGTATACAATTATCATGAGTGTTGCCCGATGCAAAATTTATGGTCTAAAGGAGATTATCGATCATATGATGGAAATGCTTACAGGCTGTTGTACGCTATTTCCACCTTTGTCAGCTTTGATAGAGGCAAGTGATAATTAGCTCTTTCATCAGTAAGTAAGTCCCACATCTAAACAGTGTTTCTGATTGAAATAATAAAACATCAATACTCTACACATACTGGCAGACCTGAGATACCATGGGCACTGCGTACAAGACCGCACTCTCACCTGGCATTACTCCTTCCTCAGCCGACTCAGCTTGAAATCCTCAGCTTGAAATATCTTTCAAACCATTTCAGAGCTAGTGCTGTATAGACGCATATCAACATCATCTATGCGTTTCTAATTCTTAGAATATTTTTTAAATATGAATTTCTGGAAACATTACTCTGAGTACAGTCTGCTCCAAACCATCTTTCCTGACAACCGGCAGCGCAGGCTCCTGTCTCGTGGTCGCAGGAGACTGGTGCAGTTTGGCAATGACGGGAATCACAAGACTTGCTGCAGATAGAACCGTACTTCCTGCTCTGACATGCTTCACGCAAAGAAAGAGAGAGACTGGTCACCGAACAATTACATCTTTGTTTCGTGAGGTTGAAATGTCTTGCAACAAGGTTTTCGATCTACATGCAATCAAGATGATACATACAGAGTCACAATAACAATGTTACTGAATTGTAATGTCACTGACAATTCACTCAGTATATAACATACAATTGGCATTTCGCATTACATACCTTTACGCATTTGCACATGACAAAATAGCAGCACGTGTCATCTCTGCCAACTCTATTTCAACTCGATATGTATATCGGCCACAGTTCATTAGCATTCGGCATTACATATACGATATATATCTTGCATAACAGTAGAAATAGGTGCACTATGAAAATAATTCTAAATCTTAGTCTCACGCATAATGCAGTCATCACTGCCAACTCTATTTCAACTCGATATGTATATCGGCCACAGTTCATTAGCATTCGGCATTACATATACGATATATATCTTACATAACAGTAGAAATAGGTGCACTATGAAAATAATTCTAAATCTTAGTCTCACGCATAATGCAGTCATCACTGCCAACTCTATTTCAACTCGATATGTATATCGGCCACAGTTCATTAGCATTCGGCATTACATATACGATATATATCTTGCATAACAGTAGAAATAGGTGCACTATGAAAATAATTCTAAATCTTAGTCTCACGCATAATGCAGTCATCATTCTGCCATCCTTCCCGGCATCCATCTGGGCACGATCCAGTGACGTCACACAGAGATGATGGCGTTTAACAGTTGCGGAACTGCAGAACTCTGTACATCCTGGTCCATACCTTCCAGGAGGACAGTTGACAGGCACTGTAAAATGTAAACATAGAAATGTAGTTTCGCTTAAATTTCCACCCTTTGAGAATTATTATAACTATTACAATATACTCCAGCAAATACAAAAGAATACCCTCCAAATGAGAAAATCACCCTTGGCATTCAAATATAAATCCATGACATGGTGATATAATGTACGCATTACGTTATTAGATAGGATAAGTTTCATGAATTACAGTATGTTCATGGCACTATTGTTTTGCTTCATGTGAACACTGAACTTGGGTTTGCATGTGTTTGTGCCATAACACCTCACCATTTCTCGAACGCGGTGTGTGATCACTATTACATAGTTATTCATAAATACATGCTCAGTCGAAAAGTCGACACAAGGGAAATGATAAACCCAGAGTTACGTATGAAAATGGGTTTATCATTTCCCTTTGTGCAGTGATCTACTGTTTAGAGTATTGTTGGAGAGTCTTTGAGCAACATAATTATGGACTATGACCAAACGTTGTTCATAACCTGACATGACATACACCCTAGACATATCTGGTCATGTTTTATGTTTCACGTTAATTATATTTCACCAACAATTACTTTAGTGATGGAATGATAATTCGTCGCGTTATTTCAAAAGTAAAAGGGAAAGATTCTTGTAAGCCTACCACACTTTGGATGATGTCAGACTGATCGTGACACACACTCTGACTTAATCCACCTCGAAAGGTGTTCGTGTTCTCCTTCCTTATTTGCTTGTTGTATTATAAAGCATCCATAATGATGAGCATTGTTATTCAAAACTTTCATCCATTAACCAAGCCTTTTAGCCTTAATATTTAAATTTACTTTTAAAAATGTAACAATACAAGTAGTCCTGTTCTGGACCTCATGAGCGAACACATTCTGATTTGTTCTTGAAGACATTTGTCAATCAAACCTGTCGCCGAAGGGATATGTATTCCACTACTATTGGTGACAGATGAAAAGGTATTTCAGCTTGAAATGTATACTGCACATTTTATTTAAAACCGTTAGATGACCTAACTAGTCACATGTGAGTGAGTGAGTGAATTAAAGTTTTACGTCACATCGGCAATATTCAGCCATATCGTTTATTAATTAAAACTAGTTTGAGCATCAGTAACATATGACATAATGACATAACCTGTACAGTCACCCTGTGTCCATCCTGTCTCACATCCACTGTCACAAGTCCCTGTTGAGTGACAGGAAGAGTTCCCTGCACATTGTCTGGAGGAACATACACCACGACAGTCAGGTCAATAATGATTGGAATCGCTAAGCTGAAATACGACAGCACGGTTTCCATATTGTAATTTACCATAAGGTGTACCGTACATATTCTGAAGAAAGTCTTTGGCTCAAACTTTAATTCTTATTAACTTACTAATAATTACGATTCATTTTAATGACTGACCTTCTTTACAATCAACACCCAGCCAGCCAGCTTTACATCCAGAATCACATGATCACATGATGAATTTCCGGCACAGTGTCTTTCAGAGCAAAGACTAGTACAATTTTCGCCGTACTTTCCATTGGCACATTCTGTGAGAAAGAACGGTAGAGGTTAGAGCGCATTCACGGCTGCATGTGCATTGACGCTCTTCATGGTAAGTTCCTTCAACAATAACTGATATATTTTGTTTCAAGTTGCAAATGATTCTTGGGCCGTTCCATACCGATAAACTGTCAACATTCCTTGCCTTGTGTGCAGTCAACCCCTATCCAATCAGGAAGACATTCTGTGTCACATGCTCCAGTGTGCCGGTCACATGACGAACTTGGAAGTTAACACTTCCGCCCAGGACACGTTTTCTTGCAGTTATAGCCATACGCAGTGCTGTTGCAAGCTGTAAAATATGGACAAGAAGTAAAACATTCATTCGTAAATAAGGTTGAAAGGCTTTTGACTTGTGAAGCACTCTTGGTAATCGGTTCAACAAAGTGTATGGAACGGGTCAGTAGATATTGTTGATGCACCTGAAAACTTACCAACAGTAAGACCTCAACAACCACGGCCTTTTGTTAAATGTTCATCAATCATGTGATTTAATTCTTAGCAGTGATTTAATAGGGCTTTCAATGCATCAGGTAAAGTGTTCATAAGAAAGTGGAAATTTCTTTTCACACTCACTTACCAGGCTTTCATAGGTCTTTTCCAGTACTTACCCTCTTTACAGTCAACACCCATCCATCCAGCTTTACATCCTGAATCACATGACCCAGTCACATGGTCACATGATGAATTTCCTGCACAGTGTCTCTCGGTACAAAGACTAGTACAGTTTCGCCGTACTTGCTCCTGGAACATCCTGTAATAAAGACATCATGAGCTTACAATGTGCTTGATAGTTATATCTACATACACTGATGTTTTTTCTGTTAACCATGTGTGGCAGGCTTCTTTTTTGAATAACTTGCAAGGTATAGCTGATGCATTTGAGCTGCCTTCTTTCTCTGCCTGCCATGCAACTGTGTATTTAATTTGTCCAGTTGCACGTTACCTTGTGTGCAGTCAAAGTCCATCCAACCAGGAAGACATCCTGTGTCACATGCTCCAGTGCGACGGTCGCATGACGAATTTGGAGATGAACACCTCCGTTCAGCACACGTTTTCTTGCAGTTAGTACCATACGTGGTGCTGTTGCAAGCTGTAAAATATGGGCAAGAAGTAAAATATTCATTCGTAAATAATGTTGAAAGCAAGCTGTAAAATATAGACAAGCAGGAGATTTAGCATTCATTAAAATAAGTAGGCTTTTGTTTCACCAAGTTGGTTTATCAAAGCGAATGAAACGAGTCAGTAGGTCCGAGTTGATGCACCACTAGCATGGAGCCGGCAGTAAGACCTCCAGAACGATCGCCTCTTGTTATACATTTGCATTAACAATGACGAACTTAAGATGACAGTCAACAAGCCATGTAAAGGCATCTACAGCCACAAATACCAATGACTGGGACACACAATACTGGCAGTAGCATTTTCTCACCAGTATCACATCTCTGTCCCTGCCACCCTGGTCTACAGTTTCTCTACAGTTTCAATGACAGAATCCAGTCAAGCGATCACAGGTTGAATCCAGGCAGTGACAGAACGTATTACACTTCACTCCGTAGATTCCTGGGCTGCAAGCTGGTGCATTATTAACACAAGATAAGTACATACAAGACAAGCCCATATATCAAGGGTAACTTGTAGGCATAAATGGAATGGAAATTGTGGAAATATGGAATCGATGAATTGCCGACATTATGCAATTTACATGATTTGATCAGTGATTGCTCTGTAGTTCTATGGATTGATAGTTGATAGGACTGGACAGTATGCAACGCAGTACATGTACACATCGAATTCGACCATTTGTCGAGTATTTTATGTTATGTATAGACATTGGTTCATAGCTACAGAACGGAGGGGAGTCTGAAAACAATATCGTTTTTGTTCACAGTTAAATGACTAAGACGCTGATGCTCGAGACACCATGTTTAGCCTTACAAATAGAGTCTAAATATGTTACTAAATGGGCCACACTAAATGGTCAAGTGCATTTGCCTACTGTTTCCATCTCAGCACCATGACCAAAGTGTGATTTCCATAACAAATTAGGAGCTGTTAACGTGGCAACCAAATAGATAAAACATTATGGCGAGAACGGAGTAATGTTTCTCTGCTTGGTAATGATGTCGGATGCAGTTCCCTATTTTGACGTATACCACATTTTCCCCGAATTATTTCAGCTGAACAACTGTCTGGATGTTTATGACGGTGCCACCAGTGGGGCAGGATACGCTCACCTTCTGCAAACACCTGGTATCATAACTATGTCATAGCGATTAATAAACACATGCTCTGTCATCGTAGTGCATGGTGCCAAATCACTGGACTATATGGCCCAGACTCGATTTATTTACAAACAACATCATTCAACTGTAATACTGCTGAAACAAGTATACTGTATACTCATGTTATAGTAACAAATGTAAAATAGACTCTTCTTTCAGCAGAGAGTTCTTATGGATGTGGAAAGGGTTTTGTCGCGTCTATTTTACAGAAATGAGTACACTGAGTCAACACTGTCACACTTTCACAATGTATTTGATAATGCTTCTCAAATACTGTGACAAAGTTCTGGCGGAAACCTTACAAAGACTCGGGAAGAGCCGTGAAACACACGAATAGACAAATACTTGTAAATACAATGAATGAATGTTTACAATAGATCTCCACCTCACAAATGTTCAGTGCACTAGCATAGCCATCGTTTCATCCTGTCCCTTGGACTAACATGTTAGTTTTATATCTCTAGCTATGTTAACCTAGTTCTTTTACTGTCCTTTGTCAACAAGTTTTAAGGAATAAATTTATTATTATTGATGTATATCTTGCTTAAGTCACGGTATGGATGAAATATTGACGATGTTACTCTAACTCTCAACTCACTCACTCATATCGAGTGTGCATAGGTTCATCTCTTAACTAAATTATTATCTCTTAACTAAATCATACTGAATAAACCCGGAGATGTGGAGAGTTTTCAATATTTGTTTTGAATCTAGTTTCAGCTGTTTAAAGCGTCCAGTTATTAAACACGGGGTAGTACCAGCTAATTGTATTAATAGAGCGGGATCTTCTGCGAGAAAGTAACAATATAAGTTTTGAAGCATGCATATCGCATGTATTTTTGAATGGAACAAATAGAAACAATCATTTCAAATACCCAGCTATATGAATGCAAAAAACCTTTCAACGCTGCCACACTCCCAAAATAAGGAATGTATCCTGGAACGGAATTTACAACGACTTTGCTGTTGAAGGGCAATAAAACACACATGCATCACCAGTACCCGATTCACAATTACCAAATTACTAATAAATAAAATAAATAAAATTAATGATTTACCATAGATCTCCACCTCACAGATGTTGAGTGCATAATTGTCTCCAGGCCCTATCCACGGGTTCCTGATGGTGACGTATCTGCCGATACCGTTAAACGTCAAGTCAGTTGGGTTGGGGGTTGAACTCGGGATGGTGGAACAGATGCTGGAGGTGTCGTTGTTCAGATAGATGTTGGAGTTGGCATTTCTCCAGTAGACTTGAGTAAAACATATACTGTTTCAGACTGCGTTACACTATTACACTGTGTTAATATAGCTTATGTTAACCTATATATCAGATCACAAAATTATGTTCATGCAATGGACTAATGCATGAGAGGAGACACACCCAATCCAACAATATGTGCATTCGAGCAGAGGCTGTTTAGAATGATTACACCCAAACTCGTTTGTTTGCAAATCGTAACGGCACGAAGTTCAAAAATCATCTGAATGTACATGTGCACATGATCACTCTCAATATTTGATTCTTCACTGATCCCGACATGTAGTCCCGACATATTCTAGTTGTTCATACAGTCAACCAGAAATTATTGAGAAGTTAAAAATTCTTAAGTTTTTCACTCATTACTCACGTATTAAATGTGAATATTAGCAGAACATAACTCCAGATTCAAAGACAGGTGAACAGTTAGTACTTTGTCAAGTCACCATGGGCAGCAATGCAGGCTTCAATGCGGCGGGGCATACTACTGATCAAAGAAGTTAGAAAGTCGTGGTCCATGCTGTCCCAATATCGGACCACCTCTCCTTTCATTTCAGCAATATTTGTCAGATTTTTCTTATTGACACTTTCCTTCATAAGTCCAAAAACATTTTCTAATGGATTTAAGTCAGCGCTATAGCTTTGCCAATCTAATAATGTAATAGTTTGGGTCCGAAACCAGGCCTGTGAATGCTTTGAACGATGTTTTGGGTCGTTGTCCTGCTGGAAAATCCAAAACTGTCCATAGAACACGTGAGCAGATGGAAGTAAATGTCCCTCGAGAATATCTGTGTATCGCTCACTGTTCATATTCCCTTCAAATACACAGAGGGGCGTTGCCCCTAACACAGATATGCCACCCCACACATTCAATTTCGGACTGTACTTTGGGCGCTGATACAAAGGTTTTTCAGTTTGTTTGGTCCAGAATGTCAGTGTATTAGGAAACAGCCACACAGAACTTTCATCTGAGAAAATCACATTGTCCAGTTAAAATTTCTATGCTGTAAGCACCAGTTCAACCTTCGCTCCTTTTGTTCAGGTTTTATGATCGGTGATGGAATTCCTCGACTTTTCTGCCAACCCATTGCATACAGCTCAGTTCTAATTGTCTCCTTACAGACAGCCACAGTTCCTCTATCAATCATATCCAGCCTTAAGTTTTCTAAACTCCTTCGTTTGTTTTTAGAAACAAGAATACGAAGCCGCCTCCTGTTACCGACAGTCCATTTTCTGGGCCTCCCTGGTGCTCAATACCATATCCATTTGCAATATTTTTTCAAAACAGGATAAACATTGGACAAAGGGATGCCTGTTCTACTTGACACTTAAGCTGATCTGATGTCCTTGTTATAATACTCTAAAATCAACTTCCTCTTCTCTAAATCATCCATACTGAGGATCACTAAAAATGTCGTCTGCTAGCAAGTAAACAAAGGGGATAACTCTTCACAAACTAATGAAAAAGGATTAACGGAGTTATCTCTCTTGAATGAAACCAAGCACTTGATAGCTGGTCAAGGTTGTTTATACTAGAAATCCAACTAAACATATTCCTAAAATTCTCAATAATTTCTGGTCATACTATACGTTCTTCTAACAATAAGACCCACTACTGCTGTTATTGAACTTCCCTTACAGCAGACCGCCTCCGTGGTGTAGTGTTTTGGGCGTCTGCCCAGAGGGCGGAAGGTCGCGGGTTCGATCCAAGGCCGCGTCTTACCAAGAGACGCCAAAATATGGTACAATATACCTGGCGCTCAGCATTAATGGATACAACAAGAACTGGTCATGTCGGAGTCAGTATGATATGTCTGAGCGGGGTATTCATTGTTAACTTCGGCATGGTATATCAGTGAGCCTGCACTATAAACCAGCGTAAGTATGGGCTAGTACAAGCAGCCACACATACACACGCACCTCACCTCACCCATTACATCAGCGGAATGGCCCTGTTTACTTTCAATGTGTAAATAGCTTATAAAACAGAATAGAAATAATAGGCTTGCTAGAAATAAGTACAGGTATCACACGTTGAGATATATCAGGTCATGGGGCGTTACTGTTATTGCTATAGTTTGATCATCGGCGTATAGTAAAATTGTCTCCTCAGATAGAGCAATACCAGTCTATTGCACATATCTGGGTTTCCGTCTCCCTTTGTCCATGACATATTTGTTGTTTAGAAACCTGAGGTGGATTTACTTCTAAGCCGATTCACTGATGTGGAGTGTTGAAATAGGTTGATAAATATGTTGTCAGCAGAACACTTGTTGAAGAATTACGTGATTGCTAAATTGTTACTTTTTCATGTGTTTGATGTACTATAGTGACAAACTAGACTTCAGTAATGTGTCTAAGGTGAGTCTAAGGTGATACATAACAATCTAAATAGCATCGTTTTCTCTTAGATCACGAAGCCTGGATACCTACATCCATTTCTACTGTAGATCCTGATGTCATACAGCTGGAAGTCCCGGCCCAGATCCACTGTCGGGTAGTGGTGTAACGATTCATCGATAGTATCGATGTTTGCATCGTCAACTACGCGATACGAGTGCATCGATACAAAACATGTTTAGGCAATATATCAGGATATTTATATCGCGAGGGTTCCATGATACATCGATGTATCGCCACAAGAGACGATATATCCCGATACTACTTAAATATTACTTAAAGTTGTAGGAGTATTGCATAAGTAGTAGGATGGGAGTCTCTTTGAATTTTTCTGAATTTTAAAAACAAACTGAACCTAAAAGGCATTTGTTTGTGTCTGCCATCGTTGTTACATGAACAAAGGAGTAAGTGTATCAGTGAAAGCATGTGAACAATCTCTGTGAACTGTAAAGACTTGTCTTTAAGTAATTGAAACATGTTTTAGTTGTTTGACAAACACCATTTATTAACAACTATGAACGATGTCTTAGCTTTGTTAAGAAAGAGAAGATAAAATTTAGAAAGCATACTTATGAGTTTTGTGCAGTGATTCTGGTATAAATTACTGTATAAATTGCCTGTGCAAGCATTGGTGCAGAAACACAACTTTCCAAGGGAAACCTAGAGCAAGGTGTACTGAATATGTTTGATTGTACTTTCTTAAGCATTAAATGCTGAAACTTTATTACATGAACAGCCTTTTTAAGTGTGTGTGAATGTAACACATGTTGTGCTGAATAACAAATGAAGATTCAGTCATTTTATCTATCATATATGTCCTGTTTTTAGGATTGTAAAGTATCGGGATAAGTATCGTATCGCCATCACTGTATCGTGATGATAATCGTCTCGCAGGTTCCTTGCCAATACTTTCATGATATATCGTCTCGCCTCATTAAACTAGTATCGGGATATATCGTCTCGCCACTTAGGCCACGATACACAGCTCTACTGTCCAGTCTGATGGAGATCTAAAAGCGTGGAAACAGGTTCTACCCTCACCACGTATGTCACTGTCTCCGTCCACAGCCTTTGACGGGTACCAGTATCCATACACTCCAGATGTTGTTGATACTGTCTTGCTCAGTGCAATGTTTTCTATAAAAAACAAAGCATTACGTCTTTGTACACTTCAGATGTTGCTGATGCTGTCTTGTTTAGGGCAATATTTTCTGTGAAGTACAACAATAATGTTACGTCACTGCCCCCATCTATAGCCTCAATACGCTCAAGATGTTGCTCTCGTCGTCTGTGCAATGTAGGACAATAATCATGTCCTCACAAAATTCCATACATTCCCAATACATGTATGTGAAAAGGTTAACATGGGTATAAATGCATGGTGATATTCGGATTCTAGTTAATAGTCTAATGTCAATCACAACCCTACAACCTTTATGTTGTATTACAAATGTCATATATGGTGTGAGTTAAGGGATCATCATTCAATTTATAATGATTTGTACCAAGATGCTGTTTTCACACCGACCAAAGCAGAATATTAAACACATCAAAATCAAAGCCACTGTATGTGTCACTCACGTTTCTGGCAAAGACCGACTTCCTTTCTCCATCCCGGATCACAAGAACCAGAACAGGCACCTGTAGTCTCGTCACATGATGTCCCGCAGTGACAGGAGTAGCTACAGGAGTCTCCAAACCATCCTGGTTGACAGGAACCTGTGGGGAGACACAGAGATGTGCGATTCAATGACCAGGTACTAGTCTCTGGCGATTACACGTCTGTTTATCATCAACTTGAGTGAGTGAGTGAGTGAGTGAGTGAGTGAGTTAAGGATTTAAGGCACATCGGCAGTATTTCAGCCATATCGTGACTAAATCAAGTTATCGAAATATAAAATTAAAGGTAAATCATACAAACAAGTCAACTAAGGACAGGAAAACAACTAGATTATCACAGATATAAATTTTAAGACTAGTAATTACATTTAAACCATTTTAACTTCACATGACAAGACAATATAAAAAACAGACTATATATTGCCAACAACTGAAGGTAGATCACCATACTAGGGACCATCATTCTGCCTCCTGCATGGACCCCAGCTGGATTTACATCATCCCTCAGTTGTTAGCTGTTGTAGGCAAGTCTAGTCATATCAACTTGAGTCCCTGCAATGATTGTGTACTGGACCATTTCAAGCTTTATCATTTGCATCATTTGTATGCCATCCTTTTATCGCCCAATCGCGATGATATCCCAATACCCTTAACAAGGAAGTGAAATACCTACAACGTAGACGTTTGATCACTAAATATGTATTAACCCCGCCCAATGTACCGCTTTGAAGTGTTCAACTTTGGAACAAATATCGAGGAGAGATTCAGCTTCAGTGGGCTTCGGATGAGGAAGGAGAGCTACATTCGCAGCATCCCTTGGGTAAGCGAACCAGTATCAGTGACACAAACAAAACAAACTGTGTATTTACTTTATATGGTTTCATAACCTTTGCTTCAACAAAATGGTAGTTCAAGTGCATGTTTACCTCATGTGATCTGGCATGTGGGATGACCAGGGCCCCGAAATATGGCTGCAATAACCAAGGGATAGGACAGGGACAGGACCCAGGAGTAGGGAGGACAGAGCCGCAGGATAGGGGTGTTATGAAAGTTGGGTAGGAATAACTGGACAGCAGGTTAGGAATGTTAGGAGCATGGGGTAAGGATAAGATGATCTGGGGACATTGGTAATAGGACCACACCGTAGGGGTATAACCACACTTAGGTCTGGGACCCAACGTACGATAAGATGAGGAAGGGAAAGGGATAATAGGGCTCTGGGGTAGAATTAACAGAATCCAGATGTAGAGATGACAGGACCCGGGGATATATTGCAGAAAGCTTTGTTTGGGATGTCAGGCAAACCTGGGACAAGGCTCGGGCAAATTTAATACATTTGATACATCCTTAGAGAAGTGGTCATAGAATAACTGGTTAGGGATGACCAACCACGGTGATTGGGGAATACGGGGTTGCTTTGGACGGGATAACAGAACCGGGTGGTAGGGAATATTACATATGGTCATTACATCATTTTGGTGGGCGAGCTGTCTAAGGCTCCAGGTTAGTAAAAAAGCGAGCTTGGAGGTGACGGGATCGAGCCCATTTGTGACCGGGTGTAAAAACCTTGGAGTCAACGTTGTGTGCAGACTCTTGTCACAACCCCAACTGTTTTCACAACCCCAAATTTCCATTTCACAACCCTGTGCACTTAAAAGAACCCATGAATCCGTTGGTAGATGACCAGATGGTGGCCACATGAATACGTGCAAACACCTAGTTGTGGGTACAGCAACGTGCAGTAAACTTGGACAAGGTACTATGACTATGTGTCCTTGTCCACCCAGCTGTAAATGGATACCTCGTTAGGATGGGAAAGCCACATTAACTTGATGCGCCTAGTATTCAGCAAGAGTTGTATGATCCCAAGGGAGTTGAGATTGAAAATACGAAGTGCCGTTGTGATGGACATCGAATGATCGAGGAAAACAGAGCGCCTTTGAGCAGTTGAACTGGATATCGGCGCTATACAAATGTTAGTATAATAATAATTACATTAATTTATACAAGCATACATGTAAGTCCGACTAATTTGCGTGAATCAGATATGAAAAGATTTGGTCATCCGTCATTATACGTTTACCCTTTCACAGTATAGTTTGGTTACAGTGTGTGAGTCAAGCAGTGGAGTAAACCTTGTTTGTTGTTAGTAACCTGGACATTCAGTGACTAGTTCCGAAGCGACAAGAATTTCTGGAGTGTGGTAGGTGTCTTACTGATTTGTGGCTGACAGTTTTCCTGCTACATAGAGATTTTATAAGATAGGCAATATCCTTGCTTTGGCCAAGGACTAAGTCTGTTGCCTGCCCCACTGGTGGGGCTAGGTGACCTCGACATTGTTAATTGCTGAACATAAGAGATAAATAGGACTGCAGTTTTCACCAGGTATTGTGGCGATCCTATTAAGTACGTTCAGCCTGATAAGCAGCAACACAAGCGACACAGACATTACCCAAATTATATGTCTCTGATGTTTACGAATTACATAAACTCGCATACATAAACATGATAAATGAATTATTTTGTGTTTCTCATGTGGTTTTAATGTGTGGATCAAAGGACAATGTAGTCTCTGAGATGAAAAGGTATGTTCGTAAATTATCTGTTAAAGTATAAAAGTCGTACAGCCTCCTACAGCAAACTACTCCGTAGCCCGTTTCGCGGTTTGCATATGCTTCACTCGGCTAACATCACTGGTGGAAACATTACGTTTATGTTTTTCGACGGATATAATGTCTCAGTTCGACTCACAATTAAACAGCGACACGACAACGTTCTCAATGTTTACAGTCCCACAATGCATCCATGCAAGCACTGATCTAAACTTACGTTGGTAGTAGAAATGCGACGTTCATATTTCCCCATATGGTGTACGTAGTTTTACTATAATAGTTCAGGGTAAAAGTGTACTTTATTGCACTATACATGTGGGTAGAGCCAACCGTTTTTCTTAATTTTCACACTGAATAAATCTAGACTTGCAGACATGCTTGGGATTTAATTTGGTATCAAAAAGCGAGTCTGTGCTGTTATTGTTGGTGTTACTGATGGGCTCGATTATATTCTTCTTGAGCCGGGTGGTATTTGGAGGTGAAAGAATGTATTACGTAGGCAACGCTAGTCCTGGATGTGTGACCCGGTAGACAGCGTGCAATTAAACTGGACAGTGTCTTTCACTGACTGGCATCAAACTGGACAGTGTATTTCACTGACTGGCATCAAACTGGACAGTGTATTTCACTGACTGGCATCAAACTGGACAGTGTCTTTCACTGACTGGCATCAAACTGGACAGTGTCTTTCACTGACTGGCATCAAACTGGACAGTGTATTTCACTGACTGGCATCAAACTGGACAGTGTCTTTCACTGACTGGCATCAAACTGGACAGTGTCTTTCACTGACTGGCATCAAACTGGACAGTGTCTTTCACTGACAGGCATCAAACACTCATTCATGTAATGAGTAGCTCAGTGGGTCAGATTGCTGACATTGTGGGCTGGCGATTAGTTGCCTGACTCTAAGAGTCTGGGTATTGTGGTGTTACCGCTAAGTGTGTTCCCGTTTAAGGTTCATAATGTTGAACAGACAACAGCACGCATTCAAAGCTATCACACTTTACTTGAATGAACAATCGGTCTGCCCATGCGCAGATACTTTTCCGCTGCTATTTTATTAGCCAGACAATACAACATAAACCGGGCCATACCGGACAATAAGCAGAAACACTACATGTTTGAGTGTTGAAGATTAATGTATCAATTACATCGATTATGCTCGTCACGATTAGAATAGAATGCATATGCAACAAATCGAAAATTGTCGATCCTAATTATCCTCGTTTCATAATTATTAGTTACACCTTCAAAACAGAATGTATGCAAATCCTTCATTAACTCACTCTAGATGTTCTTGAGATTGTCAGGTACTGGCAAATGTGAGCGAACGTTCATAGGTCTCACGTTACGCTAGCCTTATATAATGGTTGCGTCATGTTGACCAGCCAGAGGTACGCATTGTCAAGGCACATTAGCTTAACCCATTGTGTGACCATTACCTGAGTGTCTAAACCGAACATAATACAAGGAACCTATTTTATGTGTGATAGAAGAAGGGACTTTGCAACTGAAGGCATCCTTATTTGCTAAACTATTAGGCCTTGCATTCTATGTAATCTTTTTCGTCGTTATACTAAAGGTATATTGATCAATGACGACTGGAGTAGGAAATGAGTTGCAACCAAATGATCCCCTTTCGTGATTAAAAAAAATGGAAAGTTGAAATTTACTTTTAATGTTTTGTGACTTACATACCCTCGAGGATACAGCCATTAACAATCTGAGTTACTAATTGAAACTTCCAATCATAAAATATTTATCTATTTACAAATCATTTAATAAATCTAATTCTTTTAAAAATGCAATAATTAAATGAGAACTGATTTTATTCAAAAGATCCTTCATAGTTCGTGATTTAAAAAAGTTATCCCTTTTGATGGAATATTCATCACAGTCAAAGCAAGACATGCTTGACAGTACTTCTTTCATCACAAGGGATATTCATGAGTATATCGGGTGTGGCCAATACGACATCGTCGCATCATGACCTCTTCAAATGCAGAAGAAGTGGGACACCAAAGTAGGTATAACCAATATAAGGTTTTATTGCATGTATTTTATTTATACCTACTTGGGTGTCCCACTTCTTCTGCATCAGATCACGGATATAAGATCGAATGGTAGCTTTATAATCAGTGTATGGAATGAGAAGTGGTGTCACCGATTTGTTGAGTGCTGCCTTAGCAGCAAGATCGGCCATTGTGTTACCTGAAATGCCAACGTGGTTGGGTAACTAACAGAGGACGATATCGCATTGGCCAGTAGCAAGCTCATTATACAATTCAATAATTTCTTATAAAAGTGGATGTTTGCAAGAAAGATTTTTAATAGCCTGAAGACTCGAAAGAGAATCGGAAAAGATTATGTATTGTTAATATTTACGGTGTTTATTAATATATTTAAGAGTTGCTAATATGTCGTTAGCTTCTGCTGTGAAAATAGAGCTGTTATTTGGTAGTCGAGAAGATATTGTTCTGGATCCAACGACAGATCCAACTGCGCCATCATCTTAGGACCAATCTGTAAATAAGGATTT